GCAGCCAGTTGACGTTGGACCCCCAGAGATTTTTTTTCTCCCTACTTGGGAGTTTTTGGTTGCTCTCCTCCATCGTCATCTGGCTTTCTTTTTCTTTCTTTCTTTCTTTCTTTCTTTCTTTCTTTCTTTCTTTCTTTCATTTCTTTGTCTTTCTTTCACCCTCTTTTTGTATTATTCCATCTTAATAATATTGTAATGCATCACAAAACACCCATGTAAAGCACATTGGAGCAACTCTGTTGTGAAAGGCGCTATATAAAAATAAAAAAATAAATTGAATAGTAGTATTCAGTCCCAGATCTGTATTTGCACATTTTTCACTAATTAACCTTGATTGGGTCGTTTATCAAATGAATTGCTACATTTAAATCGCATTAATACAAGTGCTTAAACCAAACAATGGGTTGCCAGTCCCAGGATTAAAAAAATCACTTTTAATCCGTGCTGTGAGTTGCCAGATCCAAGATTGAAGATATTAATTTAGACATATTTAGACAGTTTGTCAGTCACAGCCCTGAACTGTTTTTTTAAATTTTTAAACTGCTTTCATTCATTCATTTCCTGTCTTCTGACTTAACTCTCTGTTATACGTTAATTTCTTTGTCTTGAGTTGTTCTGACAGGCCAGCGTTAAAGCGCTTTTAACTGTCGATGTCACTCAGGAGTACCAACTGTTATTTTTATCTTTTGTATTTTTATTTTTTTTTTGTCACAGTGATTTGTCACAAAGCAGAGGCCCTCGAGCGTGAGTAATAATCAGCTCCACGTTGTGCCGTAAACGTGAACGGGCAGCCAGCAAAATCCATGTCAGAAAATGTGGAGGAGAGCGTAGTCCTACCAGCGTTTAATCTCTCGTTTCCAGGCAGAAAAACTGGTCAAATTAATAATAATAATAATAATAATAATAACAATAACATATAATGAAATATGTTAAGAGTGTGACTGAGCACGGATTCCTGTGACTTACTGGTGGTCAGTTTTCAGATCAGTAGACAAATACGTCTTTATTCCCCTAACCGCCCCCCCCCCCCCCCCCTGGATCTGACATGTCTACTGTGCTCTCATCCTGACTGTGCAACAGCAGCCCCCCCCCCCCCCCCATCCTCAGCTGCGTACAGATGCAGAGAAGCGCTCCCTGGTTGAGAGCGGTCTGTCCTGGTACAGCGAGGACAGCAAGGGCCACCGTAAGGTGGGGGCTGGGGGCTACGACACGGGCAGCCTCAAGACGGAGTCCTCCAGCAAGTGGCGGAAGTCCCGCCCCCTGGAAGCCGCTGGCGAGGACGCCGGGGGGAAGGGGGAGCTGAAGAAGCCGCAGAGCCTGGGCCGGCCCGGGGGCTTCAAGAAGGGCCGCAACCCCCCCGTGGGGGTCACCTCTCCCATCACCCACACCTCCCAGAGTGTGCTTAAAGTGGCAGGTAAGACCCCCCCACCCCGTGTTTCCTCTCAGCACAGGTCCAGGAACCTAGACTGCCGATTGGTCAGCCACTGGCAGAAGTGTTACTGCCCGGCGGAATCATCCGGCGTCGTGAGGAGGCTGCTTAGCCCCGGCGAGCCGGACCCCGAGCGGGTTGGACCCTGAGTGGGTTGAAACTCGAGCGGGCCGGACCCCGAGCGAGCCGGACCCCGAGCGGGTTGGACCCCGAGCGGGTTGGACGGCCTTCGGGTTTGGCACCGCCACGCCGCAGCTGCTGACAGCTCCTTTGAAAGCTGCGCCGCATTTTACCCCCGCAGCCCACGCACTTCCTGCCAGCTGAACGCCAAAGCCACTCAGTCTGATGGTCCAAACACCTCGCTTTGTGTGTTTATCCCGACAGCTCCGCAGACCTCAGATGATGTCTCAGCAGTGGAACCGGCTGTTTGAGAGACCGTGTCGGTACCTGTTAGTTATTTTTCCGTCAAAGCAAACACGCGTTTAGTGAACGCAGATCTCAGCTGTAAAACTACTCTGATGGTTCTCGGGCGCCATGGCAACGGACTCCCAGTCGCACGGCATGAAGGACGGGCTGCCAATAAACTAACAAGCTACTGTACAGCGCGGCGTATTTCCTCCATACCTGTCAGGGTTCTCCTTCCTCCGTGATTCTGATATAACCGGCGCCTCACTTTCCACGGCTGTCGATAACCTGCTTCCGGCGCCTCACTTTCCACGGCTGTCGATAACCTGCTTCCGGCGCCAGGCCGGGAAAAACTTCCCATCCGATAAGTGCACATGGTGCAAGGAATGGCATCTCTACAGAGAGCTTCCCCGCTATGAGATCACACTGAGCTTTTAGCATTTTTATGAATGAGCCACAGAAGCCTGACATCACCCTGCAAGCTCCGCCTCCTCCCCCGGGACGGAGAGCGAGTCCAGTTTCGTTAAAACCGTGTAAGAGGCGCTGACATCAGCGTAAGCCATAGTGCCACGTCGCCCTTTATTTGCATTTACTTTTTTCTTTTTATCAAAGAAATTTATGCTTGGCTTTGAATTTACAGTCTGAAACAATCCACACACAGCTGATTGTTATTATTGCCAATTTTGGTGTTGTTCTTAATTATAATTTATTCATGGGGAATTGATAGTAGGTTTTATCTGTTTTCGTGGATATTTGATCTGAAAGGGATCAGCTTGCAATGCAAGAAAAGGTGTGTCTGTAAAAAGCAGGTTGTTTCCCTCTTTATAGTGTGGGCTTTGATTGTAATTGTAATTAGAAATTAATTATTTAAGCCCCAATCGGGAATGGTTGCTTTAATTATGGTCGAGGTGGAGTTGTGCATCGTCACTGTCATCGTGTCTTCATCACTGTGGGGAGGGTCGACGAATCGTTCGGGGGGGAGATGTTATAGCTATGGACCTCAGCGGTTAAGAGAGTGGGGGGGTGGGGGGGGGGGGTGCTGAGGATGGACCAGGTGGCCATGGCTAGCATGTAGGGGGCGATCTGGAATGCTCGATGGCTCGATGGCACGATGGCTCGATGGCACGGTCCCTTGGCACGGAATGAGTTGTCAGCAAGGTCGTTTGTTTTTTCTGATTGGCGTGGCTTAACCCCCCAGGTGGGGGTGGGGTGGGGGGGAGCACGGACGCCTCGACTAGGGCATGGTCACAGGCTGTTTATATGGGGCAGCCTGCTGCTCTGTGTCCACTGCGATCACTGGGTTGTGGCTCGGGGTCATTGGTCTGGGGGTGGGGGGGAATGGGGGGGTGCCGTGTCCTCTGCTCCAGCAGGGCTCCCATNGAGGTCAAGCCCCTCTACTCAACTGCGACTGATTACATTCAGAGTATGAAACAGGTTTCCTGCGTGTGTCACATGACCTCCGGTTGCCTTTCCTGATCCCTCCCATACTACCCCCTGGGGGAGAGGGGGGGGTTCCCTTTTACACAGACTGGGGAGCAGGCTCTTTAAGCTCCGAGCAGGACGAGCCCCCTGAGCCAAGGCACAGCCCGTGATGCAATGTGGAGATGATTCTATGAGAACACGATGAAACTCCAGCAGGGGTGTCGTAAGGGCAAAGGACAGGCAGTGAGGAGGCGGCAGGGGCTGTAGCTCAACCCTGGTTACTGTCACCAAAATCAGTGCTTCGGCCCAGCCCTGCCTTCGCTGTGGGGACACCCCCCATCTATAAGTCGCCTGACTTCATTTTCCTCTGTTTTGTGGTTCACGGCTCAGTGCTGAGACTCAAACACCCCATCAGTGATACATCTACATGCATGACTCACAGGGTCTGCTAGGGTCACTGTGACTCAGCCTGGTGCCCCTTGATTAGAAACATCACGCTCGACCGCTGAACTCGAAAACACAGGAAAACTACAATACTGTAACTAACTGAGAATCTTCTCGTGACTACGACTAACAAACGCATCTCTACGCAGGGAAACAGCCACAATAAACCACCAAGCAACCTGATAAAAACAGACACTTACGTACACTGCCTACACAGCGGACAGGTGAGAACCATAACAAATCAGCTGATCATTTAGGGCAACAAGGAACAGGTGGGGTAGCTACAATTAACAGGCACCGAGAAGTCAATTAACAGATAGAGGAAAAGGACCAAATTCTATGGAAAACCAAGAATAGGCCAAATAAACATGGAATAAGGAGCAAAAACAAGGATCTGTAACTGAAATACCAATACAAATGCTAAACCAGATGAACACAAAACCAACAAACTTTAAGTAAGCAGTTGAGACTGGCCTCTGCCCAGCAACCAAAAAAGGGGAATTAGGAATGGTGACCAACCTCTTAGCCTGGTAAGCCACGCAGCGGTCCAGGGAGCAGACAAAATACACTGGAGATTTAAGGCTACAAGACAGGGGAGAGAACGGGATGGCCAGCGACACCTGCTGGCCAAACAGGGACAAAACATATGGGACAGGGCCAGATGGGTACTGATCCTGATACCCCCAATGAAAATGGTGTCCAGCGTCCTGCTGACGTTGCCACCTCTGCGGAGGACCCTCAGCCCCTGCGACAGCCACACAGCGCTGCCATGGCAACCGCATTTTTCAGGAACTCTGGGGCAGGGATGATGAAGGGTGGCAGAGGGCTGAGATTAGCCACATGACCTAATGAGATGCTTTTGACGAGGCTCTGAGTGCCCTCTGATGGAATGTGGATCGGGCAGGACACGGCTCTCTGGGGTCAACACATTTATTCTTTTGGTTTGTCTCTTTTAACTGTCTNTGCCCGTGGCGTCCCCCAACCTGAAGGACAGATTCCTGAGCCACTTTCCCACCTTGTGTGGTGTCCCCTCGTCTGAGCAGTGGTACGCTCTGCTGTGAAATGGCTGCCAGGCCAGCTCTCACTGGGGGTGGGGGGGTCAGTGTGGGGCTCGCAGGTTAAGCCAGTGGCCCCCTGCCAACCTTTCATTCCACCTTTATATGAAAACTCCACCGTTGCATTTACATGTCTGGCTTCTTCCTGCTTTCGCCTAAATTTGGGGGAATTTCAGATTTTTTTAATTAAAATGAGTGAAATTTATATATTTTATTTTAATGACATTTTTAATTGAAAGATAATACATATATATAGTTATTGCTTTGTGATTTTAAATCTGCTTCTCCTTTTAACCTTTTAGACCAGAAGCCACGAGAGCGAATGGTTGTGTTTCAGGCTCCAAGATAGTTTCCCGGAAAAAACTGAAAGGGTTCCCAGAAAATCGGTCACGGTTGCAGCCGCGATGGGCTGATTATCTGCCTGCCCGGGCTCCTCGCGATTACAGACCTAGCGCTCACTCTGGGCTTCACTCACGGTGTTAAAGACGATGGACACCGAGCCGTTTTCCCGCTCAGTCTCTCGGCGGGTGTGAGGGTGAGAGAGCTGTCCCAGGAAGCCGCTGTTAGCTTATCGCTGCTTCTACTGAGAGGGGGGGGGGGGGGGGGTAAGTCTTGCTGCCATTATCAGGACACACTGACAGCTCCTGTCTGAGAACCAACTGGAAATTCCATCCATCTTCCTGTCGCTTATCTGGTATTTTGCAGGAGATGGAGCAAGACTCACGTTCACCCAGGAAGGATGAATGAATGAATGTTACATTTATATAGCATTTTCTAAGGCACGCAAAGTGTTTTACAGAATGGGGAGCCACTCCAGCCACCCCCCCTGTGCAGCCCCCTCCTGGATGATGCAACACAGCCATTCTGTACCAGTACGCTCACCACACAGTAGCTAAGGTGGTGAAGGGGCAGGAGAGAGTTCACCAGTTAGATATAGGGGATGATTAGGGGGCCGGATTTGATAGGGCCGCAGTGGACAGTGTTAGTCAGGACATCGGGGTACCACCCCCCCCCCCCACCCTTACACTTTCCACAGATGCCCAGAGATCTTTTATGACCTCAGGGAGTCAGGAACTTGCTTTTACGTCTCATCCGAAGGACGACACAGTGTCCCCGTCACTGCGCTGGAGCTTTGGGATCCACCCAGACCACAGGGTAGGCTAACCTGGTGGCCACACCAACCCCAGGAACGGCAGTCCGTCTCTGAGCACACACACGGTACTAAACAGGTCATTTCGAACAGGCTCAAATTGGTTAAAATCTCTGGATTCGATTCTGTCGCACCTTTTTTGTTAGTCAGAGATCACGTAAGACCAGATGGGGTGTGGGGTCGCATGGGTGGGTCCTGGAGTGGTTTCTTGAGGCTTCCAAGCCTGTTGTCCCGGTGGTGGATGAAGTGTTGTGCCCTATTAGTACAGCTCACGGTGCTGGCTAACAGTGTTGGCTCAGTGCGGATCCCTCCCATCCCAGGTGAGTGAATCTGCTTGTAGGTTCACAGATGCCTGTTTTTATTTTTGGGCCTGAACACCCGCTGGGCTTGCAGTCCTGCACGCCTGCCAGCCGGTGTCAAAGCCAGCAGTGAAGCCCGGTAGATGGGGGAGGAACTTTCAGAAATGTTCTTTTCACCGTTCAGGGCTATGTCCTATTTACATAACTGAT